ATCGTGTAACAGCATAGGATAATTGTCCATCCCATAAAATGTTTAATATCTAGAAAATAATACTAAACTGAGTTTCCTTTTTCCAGATTTTCAGATAAGACGTTTAGCCATTTTGATACCATTTGAGTTTTTCAGCTATAAATACAACATGTTAAAATCGTTTTGTCTCAGCCCCACTATGTCTCCCCAACTGAGCAATGGTGAGAGGAAAATATAATTCAGGCCTTCAGTAATTGTACCAACATTCATACTTTGGCTTCCATCTTCAAAGTCCATTCAAGAACCATCAAGAGAATGGTTTATAAGTTTAAAAAAGAGGGGACAGTAAAAAGGAAAACTAAATCAGGAGGTTGCAACAGCATTTTAACTTAAAGCTAAATACAGTCTTATTGTTCAAATACAGTGGAATAGTGTTATAAAAACCTCGGAGAAATCCAGTAAAATATCTTTAATCATTTCTAAGATACTGTTGTAACATATCTACGGACGATAATGGGTATGTCCTCATTCACATAAATACAGTAGTAAATACTGTATGTTAGTCTGGAGTTGGAAATTCGTCTCCAGCTGTGCTGGTCAAACTCTCTGCCTCCGAGCAGAGAGGATCCCCAGACGAGGCTATGTCGAAGGACAGAGTTCATTGCCGAGACAGTTAGAGTGCCGTCGATTTGAATATGTAAACTCTTTCTCGTTTCAAGAAAACAGACATCTCAAGTCCACTAACTGTTATCGCTCTTTCTCGGTAGTTCCTAAACTTTTGTTTAACGTAGTATGGAAAGTCATTATCTTTATTCTGTCATTATTTTTCTTTTATTTGTTTATAAAATCTTATATTAGCCCAAAATACATGATTATAATTAATTCTACTTACAAATCAAAGTGCAGCATTAAATCCATGTATATATAGATAGATAGATAGATAGATAGATAATCAAATGGATAAATATAGGTAAATGTACGAGCAAGCTTTCTTATACAAATACATATATACCTTTTACCATATAGTTTAAGAAAAACAATCTTAAATAACAGAATTATTTAATATATTAAAAAATATACATAATACCCTACATTGACTGCACAACTTGGAGTTTCATGCTGCCTGCAATGACAGCATGAAACTCCGAGTTGTGCAGTCAATGTAGGGTATTATCTGTATATATATATATATATATATATATATATATATATATATATATATATATATATATATATATATATATATATTAAAAGATAAAATGCCAATAAGTAATTCATCATTTCTCGTGGACCAACCTTAATTGTTTTATGACCCTTCGCGCAGAACTCTTCACTGCCAATTCATGAAAGACATTCGGATTGCTAACACAAAAATAGAGAATGTCTCATATCGAGAATATTTAACATTGAAAAACATATATATATATATATATATATATATATATATATTATTTTAAAAAATATGATTCCTTCGCTACATAAGAGTTCTCATGTTTCAAAAACGAGAGTTGAAACCATCAATATAATTATTAAAAGTTAAATTGAATTAAAAGTATCAAGCCCTGTTTCATCCTCAAGCGAAAATTTAGGTATTTTCGCTTGAGGATGAAACAGGGCTTGTTACTTTAATTCAATTTAATTTTAATAATTATATTGATGGTTTCAGCTCTCGTTTTTGTAACATGAGAACTCTTATGTAGCGAAGGAATCATATTTTTTTTAAAATAATTATAATCTAAGCTCTACTTCTGCATGGAGCACTGTTTCTTTTAAGATAAGAACGAAAATACTAAACAACCCTGGATTTTTTACCTAACGTGTTCTTTCCTATTTTTCTACATACCTGCACACGCACACACACACATATATATATATATATATATATATATATATATATATATATATATGTATGTATGAATGTTCATTAAAGACGACTGACAAGGTTACACATTTTTCTTATTTTTTGCCTTTATACAAGTATTTTCTTTCATGGACAGTAAGTGTCTACAAACTATCCAAGTGTTCTATATATCCGAGCGTTTTCGGCTATTCTATTAGCCATTATCGAGATTTTTTTTAATAAATATGTATATTTTCATATACCTGTAGCTATAATGAGTGGAATGATTTTTAATTTTCTAAAGACTGTCAGCGAGTTATGGCCATGTTCATAATTGATATTACTGAGTGTTGGCTTTTTCTTTTTTTATTATTAATTTCTTCCATTATTTCTAACTGCTTTTTTACATGTGGATGAGACTAGTATAGTCTCATTTTTCGAAAGTACGTTTTAGAATGAAATACTAAAAACACCTTGACTAAACTCGAATATAAGAAAGCACAGTATCACATCACCTTAAATATTAATGATCACGAACTTATACACAGATAAATCATTTCTAAAAAATACTGATGGGCGTTTCCTTCCTAACCTTTTGTTTGGTCTAGTGTGGAATATACATACACACATATATATATATATATATATATATATATATAGATAGATTTAACACATCACAAGAAATATTTAAATAAAATTCTCACTTAAAATTTTGAAAAACTTAGCGTTGCGTCTTTGCACGTTCGAGATCTTACACAACCGTCAATAATAGCAGATATTCAAAAACATCTTTCGGTCGACATACAGGTATATCGTCTTCAAGTTTTTTGATTTTATAAGGAAAAAAAAACATGCCTGATGATGAATAGAGGACTATTCGTAAGTACTAGCATTTTAACATCAAATAAACCGAAAACTACAGACAACAAGTTTATCGACGAGGATCAACTCGCACTATGGATGAACAGTATTTTAATGCATATATTATGTTTTCTAGCGATGGATGTCGCCAATAATCGCATTAATACTTCTGATTGATTCTATGTGTGATTATTTCTTTGTAAAATTATATGCTGCCTAATTATATGCTATATATATATGTTTTATATATATATATATATATATATATATATATATATATATATACGCATCGTGATTATACCATTATTATCCCTTAACGATTACTGCGGGCGTTAGTAATAACGTGTGTTTCTGTTAGAACAAAAATAATGGCGGACTCGATATGTGTGCCCATGTGAATAAATGAAAAGAAACAACAAGTAGGAGTACATGTACAAACAAATAATAATGTATTGACAAAGACAATAATGTGTGTGACAAAAGAATACGAAAACCTTTTTGGTTCAAAAGATGTGAAATAAGTGAACGTGCATACGTGTGTTGTGTGTGTGGTTTTTTCATGCTTCTCCCAATAGGAAGCGCGTTTTCCGCGAGAGGTTTACATGTTGACGTGTGAGCGAAAAAATTAAGAAGCGGCTACGAAAAAATATCGCAGACTATTTATAATGCGGAGAGCGTCCCTTAGTAGCGGTTTATGAAAGTAGGAGAAGTTAATCCGACACACGCCTACATGCGCAATCCATTTTAATTGTTACTGTCAAGTGATGTGGGTTATTGTTATTTTGTAAAGTTCTTTGTTTGTAATTCTGTAATGCCAGTTTTATGAAAGAGCTTAACGGCTCCAATTCATAACAGTGAATGTCATTTGTCTGAAAACTCGCTTCACCGAAACCGCTAACGGCATTCTTCACTTCCTGTAATGGTTCATTTCGCACAACAATCCAAGCGTAGAAAATTAAAGGGAGATAACTTTTATCTGTTCTTTTCTTAAATTATCTATCGTTTATCACACTCGTTAATTTGATTGTTGCTTATCTGCGATAATGAATGATTGGCAACAAGTCAGTTGTTTTGTTTAAGCTGATTATTTAATGTTGAATTCAGATAAAGCCCGTGTAGGGATACGAAATGCGATTATCTCCCTTTTGTCGAAATGGAGTTACGCTTTTTCACGTCACTTCACTCAGAGGCGAAAGTGGCAGTCAGTCAAACCAAGCAAAGGTGGTAGTGTCGAGGATCTGTTTCATAAATCAGCAATTCTTGTCCGAATGGAAATTAATTCTTACTATTGGAATACGAAAGGAAAAAAAAAACGGTTAACCCTACACTTGAAGAGGTGAAGATTTTAGTGATTGGGAAAACATCCTACCGGAAGTCTATTCCACAAAGTTGCAGTGCTTGGGAAGAAGCTGTACGGTTGGAACTGACTTCTTACTATTGGAATACGAAGGTGATAGCGAAGATTCGTCTCGTGTACGTGGCAGGCGGGCGTGAGCTGTGAGGCATTAGAACACATGCTAAGGAAATAGCAATAGAACAGCATTAGATACATGAGGTTTTGTCTGTGGGAAATCGGTTGTTTTGTACTGTATCGAGTCAGGCAAGTGACGACTGGGCAGCTCCAGCCCAGATACGGTAGAAATACTCCAGTTTTGATCTGATCTGGCCCTTGTAAAGTTAGAATATAGCAGGGGTAGTTAGATACTTACTGGATGTTACTCTTATTAGTGATTGGTCTCATTTGTGCTTGATTTGTATTTGTACTTAAAAACTACCTTTGTATTAATCTCGCGGGATCTCTTAAGTGATATATTATCCCAAAACTGAATCTCGTAGGCGATTGGAAACACTTTGTATCTAGTACCAGATCTTTCAGTAGTTTCACTTGTTTTTTAACACTCAACAGTGCATTGCAAGTCAACTGAACGTGTAATGTTAGCAGTGGGAGTAGCAGTTGTAGATATTAACACTGATATTCAAAGGCAGATATTGTTCACCAACTTAGAATTAGGACGGCTTACTGTGTCTCTTTTGCCATCGCCGTTTCTGGCAAAACATGTAGTGTGATGACATTTATTTCTAACCTCAAAGAATTTTTTCACTGTACACATGAAGAAATGTTGCTGATTTTCTTTATGTATTTGAATAAATCCAAATTCTTTTGATTTCCTGTTTTGTTCTTGATTTTTTTTAGCTGTCTTTCTGGTGACTCTAAACTTCCAAACCCAACATACATAGGAACTTTGACGTAGTTTCTTTCAGGCGATATTATCTTTTTATTCTTTGTGAAATTGCAAGATATAATCTTTACTTGGAAGAAATGCACAGTACTACTATTTTCCTTCATGTAACATTATGCTGTACTCAACGAAAAATCGGTTTCTATTTTCGTGTTCTTCATTCCTGTTCATGTCTGTCTATCACAATATGGTTTTTATCTATCTATCTATCTATCACAATGTGGTTTCCATCTAGCTAGCTATCACAATTTGTTTTTCATCTATCTGCTAATCACAATCTGGCTTCTATATATATATATCTAGTTCAAACTACCACAATCTATTTTCCATCTATCTGTCTGTCTATCTATTACAATCTGTTTTCTATCTATCTATCTATCTATCTATCTATCTATCTTAGTATAATATCTATCTATCTATCTATCTATCACAATCTGGTTTCTTTCTATCTATCTATCTATCTATCACAATCTGGTTTCTATTTGTCTATCACAATATGATTTCCAATAGTATATCTGCCACAATCTGGTTTGCAACTAGCTAGATATTACAATCTGGTTTTCATCTATGTACAAATCACAATCTGGCTTCTATCTATCTATCTATCTATCTATCTATCTATCTTAGTATAATATCTATCTATCTATCTATCTATCACAATCTGGTTTCCGTTTATCTATCTACCACGATCTGGTTTCCATCTAGCTAGCTATCACAATTTAATCTACTAATCACAATCTGGCTTCTATCTATCTATCTATCTATCTATCTATCTATATATATATATATTGATATCTATCTAGTTCAGACTATCACATTCTATTTTCCATCTATCTGTCTATCTTTCTATCTATCACAATCTGTTTTCCATTTATCAATCTATCTTTCTATCACAATCTGTTTTCCATTTATCAATCTATCTTTCTATCACAATCTGTTTTCCATATATCTATCTATCTATCTATCTATCTATCTATCTATCTATCTATCTATCACAATCTATTTTCCATTTATCAATCTATCTTTTTCTATCTATCTATCACAATCTGTTTTCCATATATCTATCTATCTATCTTTCTATCTATCACAATCTGGTTTCCATCTATCTATCTTTCTATCTGACAATCTGGTTTCCATCTATCATAATCTGCTTTCCATCTATCTATGTATCACAATCTGGTTTCATATCTATCTATCTATCTATTTACTATCACAATCTTGTTTCCCTTTATCTATCTATCACAATATGGTTTTCATCTATCTTTCTACCAATCACAATCTGGCATCTACCTATCTATCTATGTATCTAGTTCAGACTTTTCATATCTATGTAGGTATTTAAATTTATTTTTTATACGCTATCTTTGTTTATATCAAGTCAGCTCCTTCATACAAATTTAAATTGATGGTTGATTCTTATATGTCAACTATTGCTAAGATATGTCAAATTATGTGTGCGACATCCAGTGGGGTTCGATCTCTCTATAGAGTAGTAATGATCAAATACACTAACGATTCCTCGGCACCTAAACAAATAAAGAAATAAGCTTTTTGTGGAAATATTACTCTTTCAGACTTTACTGGGTTTTTCTTTGTTTTTTGTTTTTTGTTTTGTTTTTATTTATTTATTTATTTATTTATTTATTTATGTATTTTGCTAATATTGTTTAAAGAAATTCGATTCCCTGCCATTGAGATTTGCATTTCTTTGAAACGTTAAATTACGTTAATATTTAGAGATTTACTAAGCGTCTAAACGAGCGTCTAACTTTCATGTGGAACCATTTGTCTTTGATATAAAGGCCAGTGAATAATATTCTGTAATAATAATAAAAAATGTCTAATCTCTGGTTTAGGTTAAACCGCAATGAAAGCCCAAATTTTGGAAATCGATTTTCAAAGCAGTTAATTTGAAATGAAACAGAGAGAATGTGCATGTGAATGGGTAGTTTTTAATCCAATTTACCCCAAGCAAGGCAATAAAGCCACCAAGACACAGAGGTTTACTGGGTGAGAAACAATTAGAAAACAGGAAACATTATGAACAAGCGAGAACAATAGAAGAGACATCAGCAAGTCAGTAGATAACGATTGACATTTTATTTAAATTTTTGAAAATCAAAGTTGGCTGGAAAGTATGAATTCAGAAGAGTTTTACAAGCGAGAAGTGCGAGAAAATAAGCTGTTAACATAGAACTTGCAGTCACATGTAACCTATTCAACTGTAAATTGATGAGACCTTGTTGCCAATCTAGTACTGCGCTTAAATTCATAAAGCACAGGTACCATAATGAAGAGTCCATCTGAACGATTACTGTTCAGTAAAGGTTACTGAATGAGGAATAACCAAAATGGCGGCTGTAAATGAAATGGTAATCTTTATAACATCAACAAAATACAAAACTCGCCAGCGGCGTGAAGTAGGTAAACCACTGCTAGTAATGGACTACATAGACAGTATATTACCCACACTTACAATAGTGTCCAACGTATTTATGAGGATTGGGATATATCCATTAGGGCTCATAGGTACGGTATATAACACTATCTCATTCTGTTCATATCTATCTATGTATCTATGTATCTCAGAATAATCGTAATCTATCTATCTATTGTAAAGTAGAAAGGGTTACTGAATGAGGAATAACTAAAACGGAGGTTGGAAATGAAATGGTAATCTTTATAACACCAACAAAATACAATACTCGCCAGCGGCGTGAAGTAGGTAAACCACTGCTAGTGGTGGACTACTTAGACAGCATATTACCCCCCCCCTTGTTACAATAGTGTCCAACGTATTTTTGAGGATTGGGCCATACCCACTAGTGTTCATAGGTACGGTAGATAACAATTACCATGAAAGAATTTATAGAAAAGGCACAGAAAAGCTACAATACGGCGGTCAGAAAGTAACTGAAACCGAGACATCAGGTCAGGACCTATAATATTGCTGATTCGTTTTTTACGTTTTATCAAGGATCCCTAAATATATAGCAAGAACACCGGACTTATTTATAAATAGATTCTGTAGAAAAAAAATTGTCTAGCACGAGATGAGCCAGCTTTTTTTAGTAGCAGACCAAGCAATGGATTGAGTATAATCTTTCCACTTCATGCCAGCCGAAAATCTTGGCCCAAGATGGCGCCAAGAGTACATGTACTGTTCCTTTAAGTTTTGTAATACTATGATATCCGATAAACACTGGATACTTTCAGACACACCGCTCTGCAGTACATTTTTTAATCATTTCACCCCATGCAAAGCATTAAAGTCACTAAGACACAAGGGTTTACTGAGTGTGAAAGAGTAAAATAACAGAGAAACATTATTAAAGAGCGAGAACAACAGAAGTGTAATCAGGAATACGGTGATAACGATTGACACTATATTTAAATTTTTGAAGTTCAAAGTTTGTCGGACAACATGGAAGCGGAAGAGAGTTCCACAAGTGAGAAGTGCGAGAAGATAAAATGTTAGCATAGAACTTACGGTTATATCTAGTCAATTCAGCTGCAACTTGATGAGATTTCATTGCCAATTTAGTACTGCGCTTAAGTTCATAAAGTCTAGGTACCATAGCGAAGAGCTCATCCGAACAATTACCATGAAAGTATTTAGAAAAGACAAAAGGAAACTACATTACGACAGTGGAAAAGTGACTGAAGCCGATATACCAGGTGAAGGCCAATGACATTGCAGATTCTTCTTTGGATATTATCAAGGATCTCTAAATATAAAGCAGTAACACCAGACCATATGTGGCAGCAATATTCTAAGCTAAGGTATTTATAGAAAAGACAAAAGGAAGCAACTTTACTGCGATGGGAAAATGATTGAAGCCGAGACGCCAGGTCAGAACCAATAATATTGCTGATTCTTCTTTTAGTGGGAGCATCGGACCAGATGTGGTGGCAATATTCTAAGCATGGGAAGATTTATAGATATATAAGATAGATTCAGGAAAGAAAAAATTTCCAGTACGACACAATGAACAACTTTTGACCAAGCAGTTGACCTATTAATGGATTCGATGTAGTTTTTCCACTTCATGTCAACGAGTATATACGAGAAAGATTGGTTGCTAATGTGAGGTAAAATACATGATTGTAAGTTAGAGAGGAAGAGAGAGAGTGTGTGTGTATGTGTGTGTAACTGTGAGTATGGTTGGTAAAAAGAGTGACTAAAAGTATGTGTGAGAATATGAATGTGAGCGTGTAAGAGAGGGAGTGACTAAGTGTTTGAGAGTGTGTATCTGTCTCTAGATCTTGGATGAGCGGTTAGTGTAGCGGTTAGCGAATCAGAAAGAGAAATCGACGAGTCGAGTTCGATTTCCGGCTGATATCGTTACGTTCACTTTCGCACATATGTCGGGAAAAATATGAAACCATCTATTCTCCGCACCTGCCAGCAATAGGTTAAATAGCAGCGGTTTGAGAGCTCTCTTACCTGGAGGAGGTAACTAATCCAGGAGAAGGAGGAAAAGTCTGAATTCAAAATCACTCTGAAGAGAGATCGTCTCCGTCAGGTTATCTTAAACACGACTGTTAATATATCTTCTTTTTTAATCATTTCACCCCAAGCAAGGCAACAAAGCCACTAACACGCAAGGGCGTCACTGAGTGTGAAATAATATAAAAAAAAACATCAAGAAGCAAGAACAATAAAAGAAGAGAAATTAAAATGACAGAAGAAAACAACTGACATTGCATTTAAAATTTTCAAGGTCAAAGTTGACCGGAAAGCAAGAAGCTGGAAGAATTTGTTAGTATAGAGCTTACGGTTACGTCTAGCCAATTAAACTGAATTGATGGTACTTTGCCGCTAATCTAGTACTACACTTAAATTCATAGAGTCTAGGTACCATAGAGGAGAGTTCATCAGAACAATTACAATGAAAGTATTTATAGAAATGCCAGAGGAAAACTACGTTACGGCGGTGGGAAAGTGGCTGAAGCTGAGATGCCAGGTTAGGACTAATGACGTTGCTGATTCTCCCTTGAGTTTTATCAAGGATCTCTAAATATATGGCAGTAACACCAGACCATATGTGGCAGCAATATTCTAAGCATGGGCGGATGGTAGACTTGTAAATATCTATATCACCCCCAAGCAAGGCAATAAAGCCACTAACACGCAAGGGGGTCACTGAGTGTGAAATAATATTAAAAAAAAACATTAAGGAGCAAGAACAATAAATAATATGAGGTAAAATTATAAGATGGATAAATATGTGGTGACCTTTCACCCCTTGTGGGTTATAGGACACACAATGTGTCTTTAGTTTGTTTTGTGCTGAAATCGCCACCCCGCTTGTTCTTTGATCTTATGTGACGTCATTCGTGGCGTAATTCTGACAAGTTTTGTGACAACGTTCTCCGATCGTCTGTCGTTCACTGCATCTGTGAAGACATCCCATGTTGATTGTATTTACATATACACCCAACTCGCTATGTGCACAGGCTTGTCTTCTCGGCCGTGATCGATTTCAATAAACAATAATAGTGAAGACAAATGTTTTTTTAAAGACACTGGTTGGAACTTCACAACAATACGATTTCTCACTTAACCGGCTATCTTATCCTTCGGTTGAACTGTTATCTCCCTAACTTCGACTTTTTCCCTTACCGATCCTTCTGTCACTGACCGCTGGGTATCTCTGACTCATCTGGTTACCTACCTATTTCTCGCACGGCTGGACCACCTTTCTCTCCCGACTTCCTGCCTATCTGCTTATATGGATAAACGCTGGGGTCCTACCCTCTCCATCCACATATGTTCCGAAGGTTTGGGACCACTCCAAAACGACATGGATGGTCAAATCTTCAAAAGACTACTTTTATGACTATCTAAAATCATTGATAACATTTTATGTTTGCTAATTCAAAGACGAACTGGAGACATGAATCCTGAAAACCAAAGACACTTAAGTGTACTCAAAGATGGACAGGAGACGAAATCCCTACGGAACACAGATAGCTGAGTGATCTTATAAGGAAGGAATTTATCTCCTTATCTTCTAAAGATGTGTGAGAAATCATATTGTTACATCTACGAATTCGATAACTTCGTTTATCTCTATATATAAAACAGAGGATGTACGTCTGTCTGTTTGTGTGATACCTTTTCACTCGAGATCCATCCAACTTATTTAGACCAAACTTGGCATATACATTGTACAATGTAAGAGATAGGGTCTTCACGTAAAAAATCGATAATTTTGAAAAAATCAATTATCGATAAAGCCGATCAAAACTCGATAAATTAAACTTTTTTTCCTTCGATTTGGTTCAAACTCGGTATGTAGGTTGCTTACATCATAACGAGCTCAACGATATCTCATT